CCTCGGCCTGCCTGCCCTTCTGCTGCAGCCCCACACTGTGCCCTGCTCCTGCCTGTGGGGGCCCCACCCTCCTCCAGAACATCTTCCCTGCCTCCCCAGGGGCCACCCTGCTGGGGCCCCAAGGACCCCTGGCCTCCAGCCAGCCAGCAGCCTTCCACATCACTGCTTCACTGCCCATCAGCTCCACACACTGGGACTTTGGTGACGGCTCCCCCAAGGTGGACGTGGCTGGTCCGGCCGCCACCCACCACTATGTGCTGCCCAGATGCCATCACGTGACAGCTGTGCTGGCCCAGGGGGCTGGCTTGGCTTGGCTTGGGGTGGACGTGAAGGTGGAGGCAGCGCCTGCTGCACTGGAGCTTGTGTGTCTGGTTTCGGTGCGGAGTGAGGAGACCCTTGAGTCAGTGTCCGAAATTGTGGCAGCTCAGACCTGGACGCCACCTACAGCATCATGACCCTGGGCGACGAGCCAGCCCAAGGTGGGTGCCTCCCCACTTCCAGGCCCAGCATTGGCAGAGAGGGCAGGGTCCTGGTTGGGCACCCACATTGATGCCCCCATCTCTCTGCCATCCCCAAAGTGGTGCATCCGCTCTGCCCCTTGGACACCGAGATCTTCCCTGGTAATGAGCACTGCTACCGGCTGGTGGCAGAGAAGGCAGCCTGGCTGCAGGCGCAGGAGCAGTGCCGAGCCTGGGCCGGGGCCGCCCTGGCTATGGTGGACAGTCCTGCCATCCAGCACTTCCGGGTCTCCCGGGTCACCAGGTACTCTGCGCCCACCCTCCGAGAGGCTGGGGGTCCGGGCCCCAGACCACTGTGTGGGGCAGAGCCCGAGGTCTGAGGAGGGCCAGGAGGAGAGGAGGGGAGGAAGTGCTGTGTGCAGCTGGCCGGCCTGCCTCCTGGACGTGAGGTGAAGGGCCGTGTCGTGCCCAGCTGATGGCTGTTCCCATCAGCCTCTGGACACAGATGTGGGTGCGGGGGTGGTCTGTGCCTGCTGCGGGAGGTGCCCCAGACCTGTATCCTGTCACCTGCCTGTCCTGTGTTGGGGCCCTCCTGGCAGGGGTGGGACAGTTCTGGTGACCTGGGTGGGCGGTGCCGCTGTGCACAAGGAGCCTTGTGGATGTTCTTGTCACCCCAGGCCTGTGGGCAAGCGGGCTTCCCTGTCGTGGGCATTAGGGACCACTCTGCCTGGCCTCATTCGGCCCTCAGCACCTGCTGTGGCTGGTGGGGCTGGAGGCCAGAGCCCCACCTCTCCCAGGAACCCTGTATGGGAGGGAGAGGGCTGACTGGACTACGGATCACACCATTGGCATCCTCAGGGTCCAGAAGGGGAGACCGAGGCCCCGAGTCCTCCAGGCCGTGCCTGCGTTCACTCCACATCAGCTCTGAGCACATCACCTCCTCCCCCGTCCCTACCCAAGCGTCTATAAGCCCTGCCTCCAGAACGGTCTGCCCATCCTGGCACAGCTGTGGGGAATAGCCTGTTTGGGGTTTATACGCAGGCATCTTGGTCCCCAAATGCCATCCCTCTGATGTGCATGGGTCTGTGTGGCCCTCGGCCGCTGAGGCTATGTGGGCATGCGTGGCAGGGTGGGGACTGCGTGGGCCTTGCCTGCCAGGGCATGTCTCTGGGCCTCATCTGGAGAGCAGGGGCAGGGACAGGGCCCAGCAGATGGGCTGCTGTGAGGAACCTGTGCTCGGAGAGAAGGCAGACTAAGGGGCACCTGTCTTCAGGAAGCCCCCTGAACACGCGCACCCCAGTGTCTGCTTCAGAAGCCTGGATGTGTGGATTGGTTTCTCTGCTGTGGAGGTAATGGTGGCAGGCGTGCCCCTGGCTGAGGCCTTCAGCCTGGAGAGCTGCCAGAACTGGCCTCCTGGGGAGCCACACCCTGCCTCGGCTGAGCGCTGCATGAGGCTCGGGCCCACCGGCCAGTGCAACACGGACCTGTGCTCCGCGCCGCATAGCTACGTGTGTGAGCTGCAGCCTGGAGGTGCACTGGGGCCACTGCCCGGTGGGGAGCCCTCCTGCCCTGGCCTCATGGTCCCCTGTGTTCCTCAGCTGAGCGCCTGCTGTCGTTGAACTGAGCCTTCCCCTGATGAAACAAAGGTGGAGGGAGCTGGGGGTGCTTCCGGGGGCTCAGTCCCAGGCCAGCCCTTCCCACACTGCACACTCGCCCCCGCCAGGCCCCGTGTGGGACGCGGAGAACTTCCTTATGGGAGCGCCCGTTGGGGACCTGCAGGGGCCCCTGAGCCTCCTGGTGCAGCTGGAGGCCCTCTCAGCCCCGCAGGAGGCTGTGGAGGTAGGCGGCCCGCGGCCCCTCGGGATGCGGTCCGGAGCCCGTGTGTGCCCCAGGGGCTGTGTGTCTGGAGCACAAGCTCTCTCCACCTCACTGCTGACCGTGTGTGCCCTAGAGACAGTGTGGAGGGGAGAGGCCGTGCCCTGATCCAGGGGGGCGCCCAGGGAGTCTGAACCTTCTCTCTTGCTGTTGGTGGGCTTTTAAAAACCAAGTCGGGGCCCGCACAGACAGTTTCAGACTGACTTTCCTTCTGCGGGACGGCATTTCCCAGTGTGGGACAAGGTGCACGGAGGCCTCCAATGCCCCGTCTGGTGGCTTCTTGCCCGCTGACCTGCCTGGGGTGGGACTGGGCTGCCACCAGGCTGCAGAACCAAGCAGCATGTCTCCTGCCCCCCACCAGGTGATGGTGTTTGCAGGCCTGGGCCTGAGCCGAGAGGCCTTCCTCACCACTGCTGAGTTTGGGACTCAGGCGCTCGGCCGGCCTGCCCAGCTGAGGCTGCAGGTGCACCGGCCCCAGAGAGGAGCAGGTGGGGCTCCATCCTGGTGGGCTTGGGGGGCTTGGGGGGCCTCTCTGTGCTTCATGTCCTCTCGTCCCTTGGCACTGGACTGATCTCCAGCCTCGAGGTGGACAGGGTGGATTCCACAGAGATGCCGACTCGCACCTGGGGTCTCAAGGACAGACTGGGAGGGGCCTGCCTGGGTGGGGAGTGAGGGTAGGGGCCGGGGTGCTGTCTCGCAAGGCTGTGTCACAGCAGGGTGTCCCTGACTGAGGCTTGTTACCACACTGGGGCCCGACACCCCTCTTCTCCTTGCAGGAGCCCCAGAAAAACAGCAGTGCACCTGACAGCAGGACCCTGGAGAACAGCACCGAGCTGGTCCCTGCGTGCACCCCAGGGGGACACCTGTGCCCCAGATCCAACATCTGCCTGCCACTAGATGCCCCCTGGCGCCCTCAGGCCTGTGCTAACGGGTCCTCGCCGGGGCCAGGGCGCCCTGGGGCCTCCTACCCACTGTGGCAGGAGCTCCTTTTCTCCTTGCCGGCTGGGCCGCTGGCCCAGTACTCGGTGCGTCGGCCTCAAGGCCTGGTGCTGTGCCGCCTCCAAGCTCCCTAGGTCTGGGCCTCTCCAGATACAAAGTGCAGATTCTTCCACAGCCCCAGGTTCCTGCCCTGCCCCGCGCCCTCCAGCCTCATCCCTCAGTGTGAAGCTGGTCTCCCCAGGGCCTTTGCACTGTGCAGGGCCTTCTGGGAGGACTCTCCCTCTGTCTTGGTGGGGCTGGCCTCTCCTGGCCTTCAGAGGAGCGTCCCTCAGAGGCCCCCCAGTTCAGGAGGCCCTCTCTGCCCTTGCATGTGCCTTTTGTCTGAGGCTGTCCCGGAGGGCTGTCTCCGCCACGAGTACCTGGGGTCCTGGGAAGCCTGGTGGAATGAGTGACTGTGAGCTGAGACCCCTGTGCGGTGGCTCTGGTGGCCAGATCAAGGGGATCCTGTAGGCCCATTGTAGGGCCTGACACAGCTTCACTTCCCCCTCCCGTAGGTCACCTTCCATGGCCAAGACAGACCCCTGCTCCCCGGTGACCTCATCAGCTTGCAGCATGATGCTGGGGCAGGCGCCCTCCTGCACTGCCCGCCAGCGCACAGCCACTCTGGCTCCGAGGTCCCGTACTTCTCCACGAGTGCCTTGGCCTGGCTGACCCGCCTGCCCGCCCAGCTGGAGGTGGCCCCAGCCGGCCCTGCCTGCACACTGAGGCTGCTGGCTGCCACAGAACAGCTCACCCCACTGCTGGATATGAGGCCCAATCCGGGGCTGCGGCGGCCGGGGCACTATGAAGTCCGGGTCATGGTGGGCAACAGCGTGTCCAGGCAGAACCTGTCCCGCAGCTTCACTGTGCTGTCCCCAGTGGCTGGGTTGCGAGTCTTCCACCCCATCCCCCCAGATGGTCACTTCTATGTGTCCACCAACGGCTCGGCCTTGGTGCTTCAGGTGGACTCCGGTGACAGTGCCACAGCCACAGCGCACTGGCTTGGAGGCAGTGTCCACGCACCCTTTGAGGCCACATGCCCCACCACAGTGGCCGCCCTGGTGCCTGGCTATGCCAAGGCCAACGCCACCCTGTTCTCAGTGTTGGCGCTGCCTGGGCTCAGCAAGGGTGAGCACACTGTGGAGGTGGTGGTGGAGAACAGCGCCGGCTGTGCCAACCTCAGCCTGCCAGTGAGGGCGGAGGAGCCCATCAGCGGCCTCCAGGCCCCGCCCTGCCCCGAGGCCTGCGTGCTGCAGGGCGTCCTGGTGGTGAGTGGGGCCGCGGGGCGCCCTGCCTCTCCCCAGTGAGGAGGGGGCCTGCTGGGACGTGGGGCTGCAGGGCAGTCTGGCCAGGCCATTAGGAGCCCCTCACACTGCACTGACTTCCATCACCGGGAAGTCGCCACTGGAACAGTGGCTTGGAAGCATGCGTTTTTGCTCAAGAAACACTTTGAACTCTTGGCCTGCCTCAGACCTCATGGAGCCTGGCTGCGGTTTGGGGGGCCCCTGGTGTGTTCCCGCCTGGCTAAAGCCAGTGCTTTTGGGGGTGGGGCCTGGTGCCGCCCAGCCACTGTTGGTGCCCCTGGGAAGGGGCTGTCCTGGTCCTGGGGCGACCACTCTGCACGGGGAGGCCTGTGGCTCTGCTGCCTTTGCGTAGGGCTGTGGGAAGGGCTGTCTGCCCGCCCTGCCACCTGTGCTGTTGTGTCCCCTGACTTGCCCTGGACACACCTGTTCCGTCAAGTGATGCAGAGTAACGTCCAGAACCATGAGGCCCATTGAGCTGTGCCTTCAGAATGGTGCTGTCCAACTGCGGGGTGAGCAGGAGCTCCTGGGGAGGGTGTGTGGATGCAGATGTGGGTCCGCGCTTCACGCCCTGGTGCTGGGTCACCTTCCAGGTGAGGACGGCGAGGAGTCCAGAGGTGGAGGGGTGAGCGAGCCTGTGCTCGGCCCCAGGTGGCCTCCCTGGGGCACACCCTCTGTTCCCCCCACCCCTCCCGGGGAGGCGTGTCCAGGGCAGGGCCACACAGCCCACCTGTGTCCTTCCCACAGAGGTACAGCCCTGTGGTGAAGGCCGGTTCAGACGTGATCTTCCACTGGACCATCGACGACAAGCAGTCCCTGACCTTCCACAATGTGGTGTTCAACGTCATCTACCAGAGGGCCGCTGTCTTCAAGCTCCTGGTGGGCAGGGCGTGCGGGGTGGAGTTGGGGGGCAGGCGCTGGGGCTCCCCTCTGCTTCCCGTTCCACTTTGCTCCCAAGGACCCCACGCAGCTGAGGGTGAGTGCGGGGGCCTCCGTCCACACTGCCTTGTGGCCTGCCCGCTGGCAGCCCACTGTCCACTGCCTGTCTCCACGGCTGACAGCTTCCAACCATGTGAGCAATGTCACTGTGAACTACAATGTCACCGTGGAGCACATGCACAGGATGCAGGGCCTCCGCATGTCTGTGGTGTTGCCCGTGCTGCCCCTCGGTGCCACACTAGCGCTGGCTGCCGACGTGCTCATGGACACAGCCGTGGACGTGTCCTTTCTGTGAGCGCGCTGGGCCAGGCCTGGGTGGGCTGGCGTCAGGTTCTCTCCTCAGCCACTGTCTCTGTTGGGAGGTGCTGGGTGGCTAGGACCCTGGGAGGGGTGGGGGCTTCAGCAGGGTTGGGGACACCCCTGTAGAAGCAGCTGACCCCCCCAGTGCAACCTACAGCTGCTCACAGCCCACCTGCTGCCCTGGCAGGTGGACCTTCTGGGATGGCGAGCAGGTGACGGGCCAGTTCAAGCCTCCGTACAAAGAATCCTTCCAGGTCCCAGACCCCACAGTGGCCCAGGAGCTGGTGGAGCACAACATCACGCACAGCTACACAGTCCCGGGTGCAGGGGGGGACTGTGGCCTGGCCTGGGGGCAGCCCCTTCTGTGCAGCCTGGGCCCTGCCCTCACGAGAATGGAGGAGGGGTGTTGAGGTCGGGTGGGCTGGGCTGCTGAGCCCGCGATTCAGGTCTGCTGGTCAGAAACTGGCCCTCCCTGTCCTCTTCTCTGAGTGTTTTTGAGGGAGAAGGATGATTGCCTTTCAGTCATTGTTAAAGCCCCAGAAGCCTCACGTGCAGAAGGCCAGATAAACAGTGGCTCCCACAGCCGGGCCCTGTGTTGGTGTCCGCCCTTGTCAGCCTTAGCATGCTTGCACGACCCCCGCCCCTGTGCCGGCCTCACCCCACATGCCTCCCCATGAGGACCCCCAGGCAGGGGCCAAGGGTGCCCTCTGTTCACATCTAACCAGGGCCCTGCCCCTGCCCCTCCCAAGAGGCCCACATGTGGCGGTGTGGGGTTCGGTAGAGATTCTGCCGAGTGGGTTGTGGTGGCCCCCGCCCCGGCCTCACAACAGCCTGTCCCCCAGGTGTGTACAACCTGACCTTGCTCTTGTCCAGTGCTTTCGAGAACCTGACTTGGCAAGTACCTGTGAGTGTGCGCGCCTCCCTACCCGCCGTGTCTGTGGCTGTGGGCAGCCACGTCTTGGTGGCGGGGCAGCCTGTCACCTCCCCACATCTACTGCCTTCGCCCATGGATGTCCGTAGATTGTGGGACTTCGAGGACTGCTCCCCAGCCCTGATGCAGCACCAGCCTGAGGTCAACCACACATTTGCCTCGCAGGGCATGTACCATGTCTGCCTGGAGGCCAACAACATGGTGAGCAGTACGCGGCCTGCACTAGCATCCACGTCCTTGACGGGCTCCATGGCCTGGGCGTGAGGCTCAGCCCCACTATGGAGCAGGGCGCACCAGTGGTCATCAGCGCCACCCTGGAGTCAGGTGATAATGTTATGTGGACTTTTGACATGGCGGATGACATGATAAACAGTGGCTCCCACGGCTGGGCCCTGCATTGGCGTCCGCCCTTGTCAGCCTGAGCATGCCTGCACAACCCCCGCCCCTGTGCCGGCGTCACCCCACATGCCTCCCCATGCGGACCCCCAGGCAGGGGCCAAGGGTGCCCTCTGTTCACGTCTAACCAGGGCCCTGCCCCTGCCCCTCCCAAGAGGCCCACATGTGGCGGAGTGCGGTTCGGTAGAGATTCTGCCGAGCGGGTTGTGGTGGCCCCCGGTGGAGCACTGGTACCTGCAAGCACAGAACCATACGGTGACTGTGGGAGCGGCTTGCTGGCTGGCCCAGAGCCTCTCTGTGCAGGTCTTTGTCCTTGAGGTGCTGTGGATCGACCCCACGGGCTGCATCCCTGAGCAGCCCCATGCTCGGCTCACAGCCCATGTCACCGGGAACCCTGCCCTCTACATCTTTGACTGGACCTTTGGGGACGGCCCATCCAACATGACCATCCAGGGGGACCCCACAGGGACACACAACTTCACACGGAGTGGCACGTTTCCCCTGGCACTGGACCTGTCGAGCCACGTGAATGAGGCACACTACTTCACCAGTGTCTGTGTGGAGCCCGAGGTGGGCAACGTCACCCTGTGGCCTGAGAGGCAGTTTGTGCAGCTTGGGAATGCAGCCCAGCTGGCTGCCTGTGCGTGGCCCCCCTCTTCCTACCGCTACACCTGGGACTTTGACACGGAGGCTGCCACCCACACCGGGAGCTCCCAGGCCACAGTCACCTACCGAGACTCGGGCTCCTACCTGGTGACGGTCACAGGGTCCAAGAATGTCTCGGCTGCCAATGACTCAGCACTTGTGGAGGTGCAGGAGCCCGTGGAGCTCACAGGCATCGAGGTCAACAGCTCCCATGTGCTGGAGCTGCAGCAGCCCTACCTGCTGTCTGCTGTGGGCCGTGGGCACCCCGCCACCTACTTGTGGGAGCTGGGGGATGGCAGGTGGCTTGAGGGCCCCATGGTCAACCATGTCTACAATAGCACAGGCCGCTTTGCCATCAGGGTGGTGGCTTGGAATGAGGTGAGCCTCAGCGAGGCCAGGCTGAACGTCACAGTGCAGCAGCGTGTACGGGGGCTCAGTGTCAACGCCAGCTGCACGGTGGTGCCCCTGAATGGCAGTGTGAACTTCAGCACATTGCTGGAGGCAGGCAGTGACGTGCGCTAGTGCTGGGTGCTCTGTGACCACTGCACACTCATCCCTGGGGGCCCCACCATCTCCTACACCTTCCGCTCGGTGGGCACCTTCAACATCATTGTCACAGCCGAGAACAAGGTGGGTGCCACCCAGGACAGCATCTTCGTCTATGTCCTGCAGCGTATCGAGGGGCTACAGGTGGTGGGTGGTGGTGGCAGTGGCTGCTTCCCCACCAACCACACGCTGCAGCTGCAGGCCATGGTCCATGATGGCACCAACGTCTCCTACAGCTGGACTGCCCAGCGGGACGGTGGCCTGGCCTTGGCTGGCAGCAGGAAAACCTTCCTGCTCACTGTGCTCGGGGCTGGCACGTACCATGTCCATCTGCGGGCCACCAACATGCTGGGCAGTGCCTCAGCCACTTGCACTGTGGACTTTGTGGAACCTGTGGGGTGGCTCTCTGCGGCTGCCTCCCCAAACCCAGCTGCTGTCAACACGAGTGTCACTCTCTGTGTTGAGCTGGCTGGTGGCAGCAGTGTCATTTATATGTGATAATGTTATGTGGACTTTTGACATGGCGGATGACATGATAAACAGTGGCTCCCACGGCTGGGCCCTGCATTGGCGTCCGCCCTTGTCAGCCTGAGCATGCCTGCACAACCCCCGCCCCTGTGCCGGCGTCACCCCACATGCCTCCCCATGCGGACCCCCAGGCAGGGGCCAAGGGTGCCCTCTGTTCACGTCTAACCAGGGCCCTGCCCCTGCGCCTCCCAAGAGGCCCACATGTGGCGGAGTGCGGTTCGGTAGAGATTCTGCCGAGCGGGTTGTGGTGGCCCCCGGTGGAGCACTGGTACCTGCAAGCACAGAACCATACGGTGACTGTGGGAGCGGCTTGCTGGCTGGCCCAGAGCCTCTCTGTGCAGGTCTTTGTCCTTGAGGTGCTGTGGATCGACCCCACGGGCTGCATCCCTGAGCAGCCCCATGCTCGGCTCACAGCCCATGTCACCGGGAACCCTGCCCTCTACATCTTTGACTGGACCTTTGGGGACGGCCCATCCAACATGACCATCCAGGGGGACCCCACAGGGACACACAACTTCACACGGAGTGGCACGTTTCCCCTGGCACTGGACCTGTCGAGCCACGTGAATGAGGCACACTACTTCACCAGTGTCTGTGTGGAGCCCGAGGTGGGCAACGTCACCCTGTGGCCTGAGAGGCAGTTTGTGCAGCTTGGGAATGCAGCCCAGCTGGCTGCCTGTGCGTGGCCCCCCTCTTCCTACCGCTACACCTGGGACTTTGACACGGAGGCTGCCACCCACACCGGGAGCTCCCAGGCCACAGTCACCTACCGAGACTCGGGCTCCTACCTGGTGACGGTCACAGGGTCCAAGAATGTCTCGGCTGCCAATGACTCAGCACTTGTGGAGGTGCAGGAGCCCGTGGAGCTCACAGGCATCGAGGTCAACAGCTCCCATGTGCTGGAGCTGCAGCAGCCCTACCTGCTGTCTGCTGTGGGCCGTGGGCACCCCGCCACCTACTTGTGGGAGCTGGGGGATGGCAGGTGGCTTGAGGGCCCCATGGTCAACCATGTCTACAATAGCACAGGCCGCTTTGCCATCAGGGTGGTGGCTTGGAATGAGGTGAGCCTCAGCGAGGCCAGGCTGAACGTCACAGTGCAGCAGCGTGTACGGGGGCTCAGTGTCAACGCCAGCTGCACGGTGGTGCCCCTGAATGGCAGTGTGAACTTCAGCACATTGCTGGAGGCAGGCAGTGACGTGCGCTAGTGCTGGGTGCTCTGTGACCACTGCACACTCATCCCTGGGGGCCCCACCATCTCCTACACCTTCCGCTCGGTGGGCACCTTCAACATCATTGTCACAGCCGAGAACAAGGTGGGTGCCACCCAGGACAGCATCTTCGTCTATGTCCTGCAGCGTATCGAGGGGCTACAGGTGGTGGGTGGTGGTGGCAGTGGCTGCTTCCCCACCAACCACACGCTGCAGCTGCAGGCCATGGTCCATGATGGCACCAACGTCTCCTACAGCTGGACTGCCCAGCGGGACGGTGGCCTGGCCTTGGCTGGCAGCAGGAAAACCTTCCTGCTCACTGTGCTCGGGGCTGGCACGTACCATGTCCATCTGCGGGCCACCAACATGCTGGGCAGTGCCTCAGCCACTTGCACTGTGGACTTTGTGGAACCTGTGGGGTGGCTCTCTGCGGCTGCCTCCCCAAACCCAGCTGCTGTCAACACGAGTGTCACTCTCTGTGTTGAGCTGGCTGGTGGCAGCAGTGTCATTTATACCTGGTCCCTGGAGGACGGGCTGAGCTGGGAGACCCCAGAGCCCTCCACCCTCCATGCCTTTGTTACCCCCGGCCTGCACCTGGTCACAGTCACAGCCAAGAATGAACTGGGCTCAGCCAATGCCGCCATTGAGGTGGCCGTGCAGGTGCCTGTGAGCAGTCTCAGCATCAGGGCTGGTGAGCTAGACTGTGGCTTCATGACACCCAGCTCCACTGTGCCCTTCTGGGGGCAGCTGGCCTTGGGCAGCAACGTGAGCTGGTGCTGGGCCGCTCTGGGTGGCAGCAAGCATGGCCAGCATGTCACCATGGTCTTCCCTGATGCCAGCACCTTCTCTTTTCAGCTCAGCGCCTCCAATGTAGTCAGCTGGCTGGTAGCCACACACAGCCTCACAGTGGAGGAGCCCATTGTGGGCCTGGCGCTCTGGGCCAGCATCAAGGTGGCAGTGCTTGGTCAGCTGGTCCACTTTCAGATCCTGCTGGCCACTGGCTCAGCTGTCAGCTTCCACCTGCAGGTCAATGGGGCCGTCCCTGAGGTGCTCTCTGGGCCTCAGTTCTCCCACAGCTTCCCCCGCGTTGGGGACCACGCAGTGAGTGTCCAGGCTGAGAATCACGTGAGCAGGGCCCAGGCCCGGGCGCGCATCTTGGTGCTGGAGGCCGTGGTCGGGCTCCAGGTGCCCAACTGCTGTGAGCCTAGCATTGCCACGGGTGCTGAGGGACTTCACGGCCCAGGTGCAGTGGGGCTCCCGCATCGCCTATGCGTGGTACTTCTCCTTGCAGAAGGTCCAGGGGGACTCGCTGGTCATCCTGTCGGGCTGCAATGTCACGTACACCCTGTGGCCACAGGGTTGCTGGAGATCCATGTGCGAGCCTTCAACGAGCTGGGGGGAGTGAACCGCACACTGGTGGGTGAGGTCCAGGGTGTCATCCAGCACGTGGCACTGCACAGCGGCCGCTGTTTCACCAACCGCTCAGCCCAGTTTGAGGCTGCCATGAGCCCCAGTGCCTGGCGTGTGGCCTACCACTGGGACTTTGGGGATGGGGCCACAGTGGAGGACACACAGGAGCCCTGGGCTGACCATTCCTACCTGCGGCCTGGGGACTACTGTGTAGAGGCGAATGCCTCCAACCCAGTGAGCTTTTTTGTGGCACAGACCACCATCACCGTCCACGTGCTGGCCTGCAGGGACCCTGGAGAGGAGGTGGCCCTGCCCTTGCGGGTGCTCATGCGGTGCTCCCAGCGCAACTACCTGGAAGCCCATGTTGACCTATGGGACTGCGTCACCTATCAGACTGAGTATCGCTGTTAGGTGTACTGCACCACTAGCTGCCAGCAGCTTGGGCACATGGCCCGTGTGGCCTTGCCCAATGTGGACATGAGACAGGCCTAGCTGGTGGTGCCACGGCTGGCACTGCCCGTGGGCCACTACTGCTTTGTGTTTGTGGTGTCATTTGGGGACACACCACTGGCGCAAAGCATCCAGACCAATGTGACAGTGGTCCCCGAACGCCTGGTGCCCATTATTGAGGGTGGTTCGTACCGTGTGTGTGGTCAGATGCTCAGGACCTAGGTGCCAGATGGGAGCAAGTCCTACAACCCCAACTTGGAGGATGGTGACCAGACCCCGCTCAGCTTCCACTGGGCCTGCGTGGCCTTGATGCAGGTCAGCTGCACAGCGGGGTGGGACTGGGACCCCCTCCACCCCTAGTGACTCCTTTGTGCTAATGAGCTGAGCAGGGCCCTGAGCCCCACCTGATGACTGAGTACCTGGTGGGCCTGATCCCAGCAGGGGGGTCTCCCCAGCTTTCCCCTGGGCTGGCTCTGCTTTGAAGCAGATTGGGGGTCTCACTGCCCCCTGTTGTGGGCTGCAGAGTGAGACAGGAGGGTGTGCACTCTCCTTCGGGCCCCGTGGGAGCAGCACGGTCACCCTCCCCTGGGAGTGCCTGCAAGCCAGCGTGGAGTACACCTTCAGCCTGACTGTGTGGAAGGCGGGCAGGAGGGAGGAGGCCACCAACCAGACACTGAGTGCTTGGCCTGGGCCCTGCGGCATGGGGCGGGGTGGGTACGGGGGCAGGGGTGTCGCTCCAGATGTCTTGAGGCGGTCGGTTTTCTAAGTTACTGCTTCTAACAAATGTCCCATGAAGCATGGCTTCCTCACAAGCAGGTGACAGCCATACGCCATGCTCTGTGACAGTCCCCTCAGCATGCTGGGGGAACAAACCCCTTCCTAGAGCCACACTCAAGGCACCCTCGCCGGACCAACCAGGTGGGTCAGGACACCCTGGGGCACCCCCATGGCAGCATCCTGCTGCCACTGGGCAGGGCCTGCTGATGCAGGCAGGTGTGCCCGGCTCTGTCGGGGCTGGGGGAATGTCCTGCCCCTGGTGGGGGTGAGGCGCATGCCCAGAGGAGTCGTCTGGACGGGCTCAGCTGTCACTCGTCGACCATCATAGGCGAGCACCTACCCACCACCGCCTGTGTGCCAGGCCCAAGCTGGGCGCCAGATGCTGCAGAAAATAAACCTACCATGGTCTGTTCCTTTAGATGAACCCCGCTTCCCAGGCTGGGAGACACAACCCTATGACTGCACTGAGGGCTGAGCTCACAGGCCCCTGGCAACCTGGCCTTTGGGTTGAGTACCAGTGGGCTGGACCTGGAGAGCTTTCCCAGCAGGGGGAATGGCAGGTGCAGAAGGCAGGGCCCTGACTGCCCTGCTGTCTGGGCAGACTTGGGCCTGGGTCTCAAGAGCAGAGGCCCTGCCTTGGGGCACAGCTCCCGGTTATCCCACCCTGTGCCCAGGTGCTGATCCGGAGCAGCCGGGTGCCCATTGTGCCCTTGGAGTGTGTGTCCTGCAAGGCGCAGGCAGTGTACGCAGTGAGCCGCAGCTCCTATGTGTACCTGGAGGGCCGCTGCACCAATTGCCGCGGGGACTTCAAACAAGGGGTGAGCTTGCTGGGAGCTGGCAGGGGACCAGAGACAGGGAGTGGGCGGGGCCAGGGGCACGGAGTGGGCTGGTGACCCCTTGAGCGCAGCGAGGGCGCCATGCGTCCTGTAGCGCTGGGCCGCGCACACCTTCGGCAATGAGACGCTGGTGCTGGGCGAGGCCAGCACATCCAACGGACAGCTCCCGTATGCAGCTGGTTGTGCAGCACCGCGTGCTACAGGACGGCGAGGACTAAACGTTCATGCTCACGGTGCTGGGCCGCTCGGGTGCACTTCGAGTGCATGTGTGAGTGCAGCCAGGCCGGGTGCGGGCGTGTGGGCTGGCCTCAGGTGGGGTTTGTAGGGCCCCGGTGATGCTATGGGGGCCCGCCGGCTGGCAGGATGCAGAGGGTGCGGGTGCCCCGCTGGTGTATGCCCTGCTGCTGCGGCACTGTTGCCAGGGCCACTGCGAAGAGTTCTGTGTGTACAAGGGCAGCCCGTCTGCCTACAGGGCCGTGCTTCCCCCGGGCTTCGCACCCCACTTCCAGGTTGGCCTGGCCGTGACAGTGCAGGACCAGCTGGGCGCCTCTGTGGTTGCCCTTGACAGGTGAGCCTGTGCCCAAGAGCAGGGTCTGGCTGGGAGCTGGGGGCCTCACTGCCCCCTGTTGACTCGCTGCCCGTGTGCAAGTCTCTGGCCATCGCCCTGCCAGAGCCCCCAGGAGCCTCCCTGGACCTCATGGCCTGGCTGCACAGCCTCGCAGAGAACATGCTGCCCGGGCTCCTGACACAGGCTGACCCCCAGCACGTGATAGAGTACTCATTAGCGCTCATCACTGTGCTCAACGAGGTCAGTGCAGGGGCAGGGGTCCCACGTCTGCCCTCAGTGGCGGGGGCCGGTTACCGTGCTCCTGACCGGATTCCCCAAAGGGCTGTACTCAGCTCCTGCCAGACAAAATCCCTGTCTTCCTTCAAACAGCTGCTGCTCTCAGTAGCCACATGCAGGCCTTCCCCACCACTAGACCTCCCCACCTCTCCTCTCCTGTGCCTCCAGCCCCTGCAGGAGGTCCTGGGAAAGCCGCCTCTTGTCCCTGATGAAACCAGTGAGGTTAGCTGCTGCCCCAGTTACACAGCAGCTGAGGGGCCACACGGCTGTCCACCACCTACCGATGGCTGCTGCGTGCCCACCACCTGCAGTATGAGCAAGCCCTGGCTGCAGCAGCAGAGTTGGACCCCAGGCAACAGCTTCGAGCCCAGATACACAAGAATGTCACTGAGACTCTGGTCTCCCTGCGGGTCAACACTGGACGAAATCCAGCAGATCGCGGCCATACTGGCCCAGTGCACGGTAGGGCGAGGTCCAGGCCTGCGGAGCCCCCAAGCTTTTCTTGACCAAGTCTACCCGGCTGTGTGCTTATTATTGGCAGTCCTGGCATGAGCCACAGGCAACCCCAGGATGCCCCTGCAGAGTGGCCCAGGGTGTGAGGAGCAGAGGTGGAGATGGCAGATGCGGAAAGGCCTTTGGTTTTACCTACCCTGGGTCCTCCAGCCCGGAGAAGTCACCCACCATTGTCGCTCCAGATGCGGGTACTGGGGTGTGCTAGGCATGCTCCTGGTGGTGGCACTGTGCCCAGGCTGGTAGGTGGATGCAGAGAAGGAAGCACAGAGCCTTCTGGGTAAGGGGTGGCCCAGTCTGCCTTGTGGCTCCTAGGGCTCTGGACGTGGCTGGGGCCAGCAAGGCCATGTCACTATTTGGACAGGCCAGTGTGGGTGGGTGGGGCCAGGGAAGGGCTGTCAGCAGGGCTGCGTATGGGTGGGACCCAGGATGGGTGGCCCCTCCAGCAGCAGCAAGGAGGGTGGTTAGGAGAGTCTGAGGAGGGGAGGTGGGTGGTGGGAACCACCCCAGAATCCTGGCATGCGTGGCTAGGCTGTGGGAACTGCCCCCAGCCAGGGCCCGTCAGCAAGGCTGGAATGGGGCTGGAGATGTTGTTGGGCTCCCTGCAGGCATCCAGCCCAGAGCTCGTGTGCCGCTCGTATTTGAAGAAGACACTGCACAAGCTGGAAGCCATGATGCTCGTCGTGCAGGTAGAGAAGGTCACAGGCACAGGGACGCCCACCACCATTGCCGACAGCATCCTCAGCTTCACTGGTGTGGCGGGTGGGCGGGCAGGCGGGGAGCGGCTCCTTCTCCAGGCGCCCCACAGCGACCTCTGACCCCTCCCCACCCACAGGCGGCCTCATCGACCTGACCAGCTCAGACATGGAGGGCCCACAGCCCTCTGAGCTGGGGGCCATGCCGCCGGCGCTGATGGTGGCATCCAGGGCCTACCACCTCTCCTCGGCCCTCATGCGCATCCTCATGCGCTCCCGTGTGCTTGATGAGGAGCCCCTGACGCTGGTGGGCAAGGAGATCGTGGCGCAGGGCAAGCGCTCAGACCTGCGGAGCCTGCTGTGCAGGGTGCTGCCTCGGGCCCTGGCTGCCACTTCTCCATCCCCACGGCCTTCAGCGGGGCCCTGTCCAACCTCACCGACGTGGTGCAGCTCATCTTCCTCGTCCACTCCAACCCCTTCCCCTTTGGCTACATTGGCAACTACACGGTCTCTACCAAGGTGGTATCCATGGCCTTCCAGACACAGGCCGGTGCCCAGATCCCCATTGGGCAGCTGGCCTCAGAGCGTGCCATCACCGTGAAGGTGCCCAGCAGCTCCGACCAGGTGGCCCAGGGCCCGAGAGTCCCTTCCAGCTCCATTGTCATTCCACCCAGGCCTCGGTCAGTGTGGTGGTCGCCCCTGAGAACAGCAGTCCCGAGGCGGGGCTGCACCTGCTGCTCACCTACAGGGTGCTGCACGGTGGTTGCCCATCCTCGGCCAGCTGGGCAGGTAGCTGGGGGGCAGGCAGGCGAGCAGGGATTTCCTGCAGACACCCTGACACATGGCCTGTGGTGGTCTGTCTTCTGGCTCCTGGGGGGCTGGGGGGCTGGAGGGCGGTGACGGGTGGAGTGGGGGTGGAGCTTCTTCCAGCCTCTGCTGGTGGAGGGGAGTCCAGGTGTGTCCCCCAGGGTGTGCCAGCTGCCTGGGGCAGGCGAGTCTCCCCATACCTGCACCCCAGGGTGCAACCTGCCTGAAGAGCCTGAGCCCTACCTGGCTGCCTACCTGCATTCAGTACCATTGCCCAACGAGCATAACTGCTCAGCCAGCAGGAAGATCAGCTTGGAGGCTCTGGCAGGAGGCGACCACAGGCTCTATACCTTCTTCATGGTCCCAGGGTGAGCATGTGCCCACCCTGGAGGGCAGAGCAGGTGCCTGCGGACCTGGGGGGCAGGCAGAGTGCTGGGCTGGACAGCGGGCTGCACTCGGTAGCTTGGGTGGGGCTGGTGTCTGAGGACAGGGAGGCCATGGTCACCTCTGTGTGTGCCAAGGTTACGGGGGCTCCTGTGGGGGGCAGGCGGGGCCTGGCAAAGCTTGGCAAGCGTGGCTGCAGCTGAGAGGTCCTTGGGCCAGAACACTGCCCCGACTGGGAACTCAGGGCAGGGCCGGTCACGACACCTGCCCTCTCCCAGGACCAGAGAGCCAGGTGGGACGTACTACCTGAACCTGACCAGCCACTTCCACTGGTTGGCGCTTGAAGTGTCTGTGGGCCTGTACGCGTCGCTGTGCCAGTACTTCAGTGAGGCAGAGATGACATAGCGGACGGAGGGGCTCCTGCCCCTGGAGAGGACCTCGCCCAGCCAGGCTGTCTGCCTCACCCGTCACCTTACCAACTTTGACGCCAGCCTCTTCGTGCCCCCCAGCCGCATCCACTTCATCTTCCCAGTGAGTGGCCCCATGCCTCTGTGTGTTCTGGGGGACCCAGCTTCTTCCTGAGAAGGGGAGGCGTGGCCCACAGTCCCCGGGCCTGATGGTGCCACGTTCCCAGGAGCCAGCCTCGGGCCTGAACTACACTGTCCTGCTGATGTGCGCCATGTGCCTGGTGACCTACGCAGTCATGGTGGTGATCCTGAGTAGGCTGGACCGGCTGGATGTCAGTCGGGTCCAGGTCATTCCTTTCTGAAAGAAGGGAGGCCGCTTCAAGTATGAGATTCTGGTGAAGACCGGCTGGGGCCGAGGCTCAGGTGAGGGCAGGGCCCCCATCCCAGCTGAGACTGCTCTCGCGTGTGGAGGCCGCCTTCCCCAGGGAGACCACCATGACGGAGGGCCTGAGGCAGGGCCCAGTTTACCAGGTGCTGTGTGGGGCACTCGCCCGAGATTTCTCACAGCCACCTGTGGCCCGCTGTCGCTGTCCCCACGAAGGTGGACATCCTGCACGAAGCAGGTGTGCCGCCGATGCAGAAGGCCTCCGGGCTGGTGTGTGTTCAGGTCGCGTGGATGCAGACTTGGGCCTTGCTGGGGGGTCGTTCCTGAATAGGAGTCATCATCGCAGAAACAGTATGCCTTTCACGGCCTCGGGAGCTCCGGGTCACACAGGCGCGAGAAGCGCGTTGGCACTGCGCATGGCGGGACGGGGGCTGTCGGGCACGGGCACCGAGGAGCTTCGTCTCTCTGACTTCCTGAGGCCGCCGCAGTGTGCTCGCCTTCTGGTCGGGCAGCCTGTGCTGCGAGGGCCTCCCCTCGGTGCCACACACCTCCCAGCCTTGCAGTGTCTGTACTGCCCGCACGGGGAAGAACCCCTGAGTTCTCTTAATGGGAGGCTTTCCTGCGGCGCCTCATCCCCTTAGTCCTGAGGCTGCAGGTGTGTCCTGGGCTTCTCAGGGCAGTGCCCTCACCCCTGTGACTGGAGGCCGGTCCCAACTCTGGCGTCATCACGTGCTTCCTTTGTTGGCAAGGCCCCCTGTTGGCGACCCGTTTCTGTAAGACGTCACGTGTGTTTGTCACTGGGAGACAGGAGACACCACGATGTGTTTGGCAATCTGTGGGGACTGGAGGGTGCACAGTGGTTAGCCCCTGTGGGCTTTGGAGAAGGTGTGACATCACCGGCCAGTGGCCATCACTGCTGACTGTACGCTGCACGCAGTTGTTCGGCCTGCCTGACGACTGGCCCTTGGGTCCTACGGTTGGCGGCGGTGTTCCTTTAACAGGTTGACATCTGAGGTCTGCGTCTGTTGGCTGTGTGGAGGGAGGACTTCCTGGGTCTGAGAGTGAAGGTCAGCAGAGGGACAAGCTTGACTAGGCAGCCAGAGTCCTGCCACTTCCCCTTCCACCCACCTGGTACCATGGCGCACATGGGTATCATGCTTTATGGGGTGGAGAGCCGGAGCAGCCACCGGCATCTAGATGGGGACAGAGCCTTCCACCGCAACAGCCTGGACATCTTCCAGATCGCCACCCCACACAGCCTGGGCAGCGTGTGGAAGATCCACGTGTGGCATGACAACAAAGGTCTGGGTGGTGCTTGCTGCCCCTTCCTCCCCGCCGTGCGCCCTGCAGCCCTGACCTTGCCCCTGCCCCTGTCCAGTCTGCAGGGCTCAGCCCTGCCTGGTTCCTGCAGCATGTCATGGTCAGGGACCTGCAGACAGCCCGCAGCACCTTCTTCCTGGTCAACGACTGGCTGTTGGTGGAGACTGAGGCCAATGGGGGTCTGGTGGAGAAGGAGGTGCTGGCAGCAAGTAAGGCCCATCCTGCCCGCTGGTCGTGGGCGTGGCCTGAGCCTCGGGCCTCCTGCAGCCACCCTGTGCCCGCCCACAGGTGACATGGCGGTGCCGGGGCCGTCTGGTGGCTGAGCTGCAGCGCAGCTCTTTGACAAGCACATCTGGCTCTCCATATGGGACCGGCCGCCTTGAAGCCGCTTCACTGAGTCCAGCAGGCCACCTGCTGTGTCCTCCTCATGTCCTCTTCCTGGGCACCAATGCTGTGTGGTACGGGGTCCTGGGAGA